TGGTCTCGATCTCCTGACCTCGTGATCCACCCGTCTCGGCCTCCCAAAGTGCTGGGATTACAGGCTTGAGCCACCGCGCCCGGCCTGAGCCTGCTTCTTTGGAGCAGCTGCAGCAGAGGAGCTGTCCCTGCTCCTCCCACCCGCAGGGGGTACTAACCATGAGCCCAGGTGGAATACTTGTTCCCTCAGAAAATGGGCCACTGTGAGCTCAGAAGAAACCTAGCAATGGCTCAACTAATGCATTACTGTGTAATAAGAAGACACCTGCGCCCTGTCAGATTTCAATCATGTGGTCATGTGGTTAGATCTGGCATTCTGCACAGTCCCTTAAGATCACTGTTTCTTCCTATATCCTCTGGAAGTTGCTGCACTTCAACCTTTCTCAATGGATGGTTCCGCAGCCTATGGTTAAGGCCTCACAGGCCTGGAAGCTGCTTGATGCCTATGTGACTTGTATAAAGGCAACTTTCACTTAAGCCTGATAATCACAGAAGACAACCCAGGGAATATAAGGTTTAGAGCTGGCATATGTTCCTGTTCACATGTAGTTCGGTGGGTGCATTTCTCAGGACAAAGTACCAACAGATCCAAGAAGGAAGAACAGTTGTCTTGATAAGGATACAGGAAAAGAAAAACGTTTTCTAAATTTCACAGATTGTCAAAATATCCCCTTAAAATCTATTATATAGTCTCAAAGAACTATAACAGTTTTAAATTGTACCTGTCATTTTCTAAAACAAAAAAGAAACAAATGTTACTTCAACCTGAAACATGAAAGGTAATAAGCTGTTCGTGATTGCCACATTACATTTTTCCGAGAAAAGAGAATAATAAAAGGGGAGAATAGAACAAGTCATTGGAATCATCGAGGGAGTGTTGTTCAATAGAAATATAATGCAAGCCACATATGTCATTTTCAGTTTTCTAGTAATCACATTAAAAAGGTAAAAATAAATTAGGTTAAATTAGTTTTAATATATTTTATTTAACCAAATATATCCAAACAGTATCATCATTTTGGTATGTAATTAATATTTTAAAACCATTAATGACATAGTTTATCTTCTCTTTTTTTGTACCAACTCTTCAAAATCTGGTATGTATTTTACACTTAGAACACATCTCAATCCAGAAGCTAAATTTTCAGCTGTTAAAGTAAACTGTAGTCCTACCAAAACAATGAACTTGTTTCATGGAAAAAATAAATATATTTCACACAGCTTCAACATTTTAAATTAAATTAAGTAAAGTTAGAGCACTGACTCAGTACCTCTGTCACTCTAGCACCTCTCAAGTGCTCGATAAGAGTTTCCCTTTCAGTGGATGAGATACGAGAGAAGCTCAGACTCCGTAATCTGAAGAGACAGTGGCTGGGGATAAATGTTTGCTGTCCTCAGAAGAACTGAAGGTTGAACATAGACTTGTTCTACAAATCCTGGGATGCTTTCACTAGGGGAAATTCCTTGAATGTTGAAAGAGATTGTTTTAGGGCAAAATAGAGGAAGTACTGCTTTACCTGGCAGGCAAGAAGGAGGCAACTCCTCAGCTTGCTCCGGTCAAGCCCAAACCAATAGGCTCCAGACAAAAGTAATGAAGCACAGACCCATGGGTAGACTAGGGAAGATGGGAGTGGCCAAAGGTGCATCCCGTGTTGTAGAAGTTCTTCATGGAGGACAGAAGGTGCCTGAGGGGACTTTCTCTGAGCAGCATGTCTGGGAGGAAACCTGGCCACAGCTGGGCGAGTGTGACGCAGGAGAATGTCTGTTAGGAGCTGTCATTCATACTACCCAAAAGGAACCCCTTAGGGCCGCTCTTGGGTTCCCAGAACCTTCACTGCAGACTGATTCTTTCCCCCAGCTTATTTGGTCCTGTGTTTCCCACCAGTACTTGGAGCGCTGTGCAGAAGGCATCCAAGGCTGACACTCTGGGGACCTGAAGACAGCAGCCTCAGGATTCTTCCATCTGGCCTTTTTTGTGCCTTTCCAACCTCTGTAAACACAGCTGGAAGCCTCATCCCATCTTTGAGAAATTATCTGAAATATCTTTTAATCTTACTACATCTTACTTTCTGGCTTGAAAACAGTTCACTAGGCAGGAATAGTGGGGGTGTTGATAAATGCAGCCAGCAAAATGGCCCCAGTGATGGCAGATGGCAGTCATGACTGGTGATTGGATCCACTTTAGGGTGTGATACATCATTTAATGACAGACAAGAGTCAGTCCAGGATTTCAAAGGTATCTATGTAAGCCAAAGCTGTTCTCCATCCTTATCATGGCATAATAGTCAAGGTGGAATTTTTCTCCTCTGCTGTTTCCTTATAGTTATATTGGCAGGAAGAGGATGCAAGTAAAGGAACCAGAGAAAGCCGTGCCCAATGTGGCAAACCTGGTCGAAGCCGACTATTCCTACTGGACCCTGGGCTACGTCATCTCTCTGGAAGGAGCACAGAAGCTGGTTGGAGCCGATCCTTTTGGGAAGATGTTGCCAGTGGATGAGTTTCTGCCAATCATGTACAACAAGCATCCTGTGTGAGTCTCCCTGAACTGACTGCCTTCCCTTAAGTACAGCCTCTTCATGAATGATGCTGTCCATTTCTGGCAGTACTTGATATTTTCTAAAGTTGTACTGCTTTCCTAAATGATCTTTTCATAATTATGATTAAGAGAGCCTAACTCAGATGATTATCCCTTTGTACAGATGGGAAGGTGAGGCAGAGATGGTGAGTGTCCTGCCCAGGGATTCTTGTAATACCCAGTTTGTAGTTGCACTGAATGTAATGTGCTTGGTCCCCTCCTTGTCTTTGCTCTTCTTATTTCCATAACCTCATGCACCTCAAGGTGAAGGTCATCTTCCTAAGCACCTCAAAATTTCCAGTTCCTTTGGTTCAGGTCATTGTGTGTACTTTTGGCTAGGCAGAGATACCCATTTTTGAAGAGGTCACAATCTGGTCAGGAACCCCGACTCGTGAACAAATCATCACGATATATTTTAATTCCTGCAATCACAGGGATGTATAAGAGGTTCAGAGAGTGTGGACCTGATACCTGAGCATGATGTCCATGGAAGAAGGGCAGTGTGATGCCCAGGAGCTTACCCTGACCTAGCGCTTATCAAAAAGTGTGGCAATTAATGGTTTACCTGTCAGTCTCCCCAGTAAACTCTAAATACCCTCTGGGGCAGGAACAGTCTTATGCCTCTGTGTCCTTAGAGCCTAGTCCAAATGCTACACATAACAGCAGCTCCTAAATCATGAATGAATGATTCCTAAATTCATTAATGGAGCAGCATAAGTTCTAACCTTGGCCCCTTCTCTCAGTTGCTGGGTGATCTCTTCACTAGATGGCCTTCATTTTAGTGTTGAGATTTCCTATGCTGCCACCAGTTCATTTTGTCTCTTGTCCTCAGTAAAAATGGAGCTGTTTGCCTTCGTATACATAACATGTCAGAGACTGACTTTATCTCTGTGTCCTGGCAGAAACATGGAGGTCAAACCATTATCCCCTAAACAAAAGGGAAATTACTACATTCAGATGTCATCTCATATACTCTGTGCAGGAGCCCTGGGAGGGAGGCCAAGTTATCCGTCTCCTTTACACCTGCTGGAGCCCAAGTGGTGAGCAGGGAGCTAGCGCACAAAGCCAAGCCTGCATGCCTCCAAGCCTCCACGTGCCACATGCCCCATCGATGCTGTCCAGATCTCGGGTGTCTCATTTATTAATCCAAGAGCAGGACATTTTTTGTAAAGTGATCGTAAATATTTATCATTATGGTCTAACAGGGCTTGCTTTTTAACTTTTGGAGTCAGACCTGAAATTCATCTTTTAAACTAGTCTATCCAAATACATCAGAAATATCCTGACCTTTTTGCTTGGGAGCTTGTCTTTGGAAATCTTTTAAAGAAATCTTTGTGTTTGTAGGCTAAAGTGTGTCACAAATGACACAATTTAAATAATGAACTCATGACAATTTAAGAGGTAGCCAGCAGGGCTCCTTCACTCTTTGTCCCTGTTCCGTAAGTCTTCTTTCCACCCCCTCATGTGTCCGGCCACCTTCTTGTTTTCAGAGCTGAGTACAAGGAGTATTATGAATCCAGGGACCTGAAAGCCTTCTCTGCAGAACCCTTGCTCATCTACCCTACGCACTACACAGGCCAGCCGGGGTACCTGAGTGACACCGAGACCTCCACCATCTGGGACAATGAGACAGTGGCCACCGACTGGGATAGGACACATGCCTGGAAGTCCCGGAAGCAAAGTCGCATCTACAGCAGTGCCAAGAACACAGAGGCCCTGCCACCGCCAACCTCCCTGGACACTGTGCCTTCGAGGGATGAGCTATGAAGCCTCCCTGGGAGTGTGACCCACATCGGTTCAACATCCTTTGGTTTTTCTAAAGGGCTATTCATCCGTTTGCTCCAGTTTTCTGTTTTGTTTTTAGTGGTCACAGTCATCTAACCAAAGTGATCTCATGTGATAAATCGAAATTAACATACTTTTGACAGTGGAGGGAAATAAGGAAATTCAACACAAATTTCCCAAGATGGCTGAAAGACAGGCTTTCTGGAAACTGTTAAGATAAACTGTAATCCAGACACCTAATTCTTCAGTCCACTACCCATGTGACACTGATTCCCACATTGAGGTTGAACAACATGGCTCAGAGTCTTGTTTAAGAGAAAGTGATCACCAAGCTGTCCCATCAGCAAATAGGTAGTCAAGGCAGCCAGGCCAACTAGACCCACACTTATTGGTCTAGCTGGTCCATTTTATGTGACAGATGGGACCTTGAAAACGCCAAACCAATTGGACAACCTTCATTGGTCTAGTTTCTCCGTTTTATATGACATTGAAAACTTGTGTATGCAACGTTTGGGGGACAGGAATCAATCACTTAAAAATCATATTTATTTGGCTTTTTATTTAAAGGATTCTGTCACGAGCCTTATTGAAAAGTCGATTAAAAAAAAAAAAACTTAGTCCTTGTTATCTAATAGGGATGGGTATTTGGGTCTGGCTGAGACTTGGCCTGTGACCATCATGACAGCTGGAGCTCCCATATAGAGGTGACCAGTTTGCCATGTGGATATAATTTAGTAGACGTTTGACAGTTTGTGTAGGTATTTGAGGGAAAAAACTCAACATTTGGCTTTTTTTATTATGGCCACTTGGGTCAGGATGCTCTATTTATAAAGATAAATGTAATATATGAAGGGTGAGGGCTGGCTGTGCGTCCTGCCCTGTCCCGGGTTTGCGCGCTGCTACAGAGCTTCACGCTCTCCGCTCCACCCCTTAGCCTGAGAACCCACCGCAGGTGTGAGTTCTATGAGTCACTGCTAGGAGACAGAGCACATTTTCAGGCCAGCAACTATTCTTGCCAGGGTTTTTCTTTATATTTTGAATTATTTATTTTGCAAAATGTGGCGAAGACATTGTCTTTAGGATAAGGCAGAGAAACAGATGTTGCAGACTTCCGTGGCACCCAGGGGAGAAGTGGGTGTGGACACATTGGTTCGGCAATCTGATTCTCCTGAATTTCCCAGCCAGGTTCTTTCAGGGAGGCGTGTGGATGGGGGATTTGAACTGTTTGGAAACAAATGATTCTCTATCTCAGGTGAGAAACCTGGTCAGAAACAAAGGGCTGGTCAGCTGATTTAGGCCAGCAGCCAGGGAAGCTCTTGGAATCAGAATCCCGGCAGACACCCTTTCTCAAAAGATATCCCCTGAGAGTCCTTTCTGCTTTCTTCACAGATTGATTTTATGTAAAATGCAGAGTTGGACTACACGATTTCTTCCCACTCCACAATCTGTCATCCTAGTATAGATCCTGGTGGTTTTCCTCAAGTTTATGTTCTCACGCCCTCAATCTATAAATTTTTGTCTCCAGAAAAACCCTCCCAGGCATCCCATACAAGCACCATTCCTCGTCAGTGTCCATGCACCATGCAGCCATATGGGGGGCCGTGCACACCCCAAATCCTGAGCTTCACACTTAAACTCATGGGGAAGGCCCTTCAGAGCAGAGCCCACAGACGGGTGGTGTTACATACACAAGCTTAGTGTACGAGTGTAAGATAAACTTTAAACCAGACACGTAATTCTTCAGTTCACTGTCCATGTGATACTGATTCCCACATTAAGGTTGAACAGCATGGCTCAGAGTCTAGAGAAAGTGATCACCAAGCTGTCCCATCAGCAAATAGGTAGTCAAGGCAGCCAGGCAGCCTCACCTCCCCAGGCGAGGGGCGGGTCCCCAGTTTAGGACAATAGGCAGCTTGCCTTCCACCAGACGCCAGCCTCGGCCTTCCTTCCCGACTCACTGTGGGTACCGTTCTACGCTGAGCAGCAAGCCAGGCCGCTGAGGAAAGGGCTCTCGCCCAGCTCTAAATTGTGCCGCTTAGGCTTAGCAGTCAGTGTGACTTCCTTTCCCACCCACCCCCAGAAAAACAGAAAGCGCATCTGGGGAGTGAGCGAAAATTCCTTAGGTGATTCCTAAGATTTCCTTGGGTATCTGGTTTTTGTTTTCATATTTGAGTGTGTGCATGTGTGCATGACTTTAATGATTTTTTTAATGGGGTGGGAGGTGGCTGGGGTGCTGGGGTTGAAGGAAGTTTGGGTTGATTTTTGTGGTGTTTTGTTTAATAAAGACTTTTTTTTTTTTTCCTGTTCCCCTGTCAGCTGGTCTGACAGATTTAAGAACTCTCATTCTTAAAAGACATTGGACTTACATTCTAGCATTTTAGACTAGGACTGTTCTACTGTGAAGTTCTGGCTCCTTTAGCCCGGATTGTTTCTCCCTGCTCAGGTCTAGAATCTCAAGCAGTATTCTTTTCTGGTGAACATTGTGAGCTGAAGATGTGACTTTTTTTTTTTAAAGTCATCTCTTTAGCAATCCAGAGGTTCCTCGACCTCATTATTTGTCACATCTCTCCCTCATAGTCCTAAACCAAGACAGTTGACCTTTGCAGTGTCACGTGAGGCCGTCAGTATAGAGGCCTTTGCATCTGGCCCTGGCACCCGCTCTCTGCCTCTGGAAGCTAAAGCCTGTCTGGATTCCTCTTGGGATCTAACGTGGGATCTTCTGGACAGACAACCGTGACGTCAGCAGTGCTGGTGCTGCTGTGTGTGGACTGAACACCTGCGCTTTGCAGGGGACGCACTGCATGGGCCCCGCTTGCGGTTCACTCAGGCCTGCTGCAGGAGCTCTGGAGAACCAGAAACAGCGGACAGCCAGCACACTGCATCATCTGTCTTGCATGCTGTTTCAGGGCGGGAAGTGATAAACTATTTGCCTTCTGGAGCTCTTCGTGAAAAATTAAAAAAAAAAAAACTTAACTCAACGATATGATTGTCCATTGCTTCCGCAGGCACTCTTCAATGGCCAGCACTGCAGAGATTCCCAGGTCTGCCCTTGACCAAGGATGTGGGTGGGGGTCAGGGGGAACTGCGATGTGATCCCCATGGCAAATGAGGGGAGGGTGGTTGTGCCCTTCCTGCGCAGTGAGGGTTGTTTTAAACTGATGGGCATTGGTATGTTAGCTGAAAGGATTCCAAGGTACGGAAAGATGGAAGAGAGCCCCCAATGGGAGAGAGTGGAGGTGTCCATCTTGCATTTTGTGCTACAGGTCAGTCTATCCATTCATCAAAACATACTGAGATACTGTGATACTGGTCCGAGGCCAAAGAGCTTTTTCCTGGGGAAAAATAGCAGCAGCAACAAAGAGAGAATCCTCGTTGATCTCAGTGACTGCTTGAATTTTTAAATCAAGCTTCCCCCTAATCTCAAAAACTAGGCTGTGAACACTGCCTTGCTGCAGGCTTTGTGCTGGGCACTGAGACGCTCAGAGGAGTAGGTAAAGTCCCTACTGCTGTGTGGGGCCCACATCCAATGGAGGAGCAACATAAAGCAGGTGACTGCCAAACAGGACGGCTTTATTTCAGAGATTAACACAATGGGTGGAGGACGACTGTCAGAGCCGCTCTGCTGGGAAAGTGACATTTCAGTTGGGTTTTGGAGGATGAATTGGAGTTCAGAAGAGGGAGGAGGGTTGGGCACAGTGGGTGGAGATGCTGTCCAGGCATTGCCTGGCAGGACTCTGAAAGGGCCTCAGTGGGATTCATGGGAACTCGGTAGGGCGGAAGAGTTAGGCGTGCGTTGGGGTCGATAACAACAAACAAGACAGACACGATCACGCTGGCAGAGCAAGTTGGCTGCCTCCTTCTCAGGGCTGTCTCATCAGAAGTAAGAGCCCAGCGTTTCTGGGAGAATTCTAAGTTTGGTTACCATCTTGACAGATAATACAGAGGCTTCCAGTAAAATGTCGATGTCCAAAACAAGAAATGTTTCCACTCAGCTACAAATTTGGGAGTCTTATGGTTTTTCCTTCATGATTGGAGCAAATCCCTGCCGCTAGTAACTACAAAATAAAGATGTGTCTTCCCAGGAGGCTTTCTATAACGTGCTTTTGAGACGTTCTCGCCAACTAAACAGAGGAAAGAAATGATCCAGAGGTGATCTCCCTGACAGAAGTTAATTCGCTAAGGAGTTAAATAATGACAAAGTAAAGTTAAAATGAGGCTGGCTGTATGAGAAGAAAATAGCATGTAATGGGTGGCACGTTCTGAAAACTAAGAACAGACAGCTTTGGAAATAATTGTCACACCCACATGATGTTTTGTGGTGATGTTTATTATTTCAGGGGAACCTGCTGTCCCTCAATTAAATGCGGCTGAGGGAGGAGGGCTAGCAGGAGAAGGGGGTGCATATGAAGGGCTTCCCTGTGAGCCCACGGCCCTAAGTCAGTGTAGGGCAGCTGAGACAAGAACCAAAGTCTGGACAATATCCTTTTGTGCCTGCTTGGAGAAGAGAGAAGTAATGATGGTAGATTTTAGTACATTTTATTACAAAAGATTACGTGAAAAATGGTGCTCCCTCTTATCCCAAGGACAGAGCAAGAGGAGTTTAGGTGAGCTTGCAGGAAGAATTCATTGACAGAATTGTCAGACACTGAATGGGGTTCCAAGGTAAGTGGTGGAATGGCTCCATTAAACTTGGTTGTTGGGCAAAAGTGTGGCTTCTTTTCTGCTCTGTGAATTACTGAAATGCCCTAGTTTTTTGCTTCCACCCATAGCTGATCTTTGTTCAGTAGCCTCTGTGACACCAGCTATGTTGCTTCCAACCCAAAGCCATCCATCCTCCCATCTGCCCTCAAAAAGAGTGGAAAGAATGAAGAATCGTCTCTGAGGATTGCCGTCTCTTTATTTTTAATTTATGGAGTTTGTTTTTATGCCCCTCCCTGTAGTTCGCCAGTCTGGCTTCCTCTGGAACGGGTGCTTTAATAAACTTGCCATGTCTGAGCAATCCTAGGACCCACAGAGCACTAGCTCTGCCCCCATGGACCTGGCAAGGCTTTGCTGGGGGTTTCCCATTCCAGGGTGCCGGGGTGGATGTCTGGGCTCTTGCTAGTGGGGGAATTTGATTTTCAAAGTGGAGCAGGCAGCTCTCTCTCTGTTCTTAGATGCTTAGAAAATAATCAGCGACAATTTCCTCTCCCAAAAGGAAATGAGAAGTTTGGAACAGACCCTCAGACAGGAGTTGAGTTGTCCAGGCATTTTGATGGTGTGGTCTGAAGGGCTTTAACTGCTTTTTAAAACTGCTA